ATAGTTCCTAGAAAATCCAACCAAACGTCTACTGCAATGTGAGAATGATAGTACCTAAGTTGCGCTGCAATGTCCGGGTAGCTCCCGTTAGAATTAGTCATTGCATCTGTAAGTTTGTCCGGTATTGACCACTGCGAGCTCTACCGTTAGATGATTTCAAAAAAAATTAAGTGACTGAGACGTAGTCGTTGAACGGTCATGGAATATAAGGTGTAGAAATTTTAGAGCTAGGATACTTTGCTATTTGCACTTTCACAGCAGTGTAGACTGATCAGGAACTGTAAAATTTGATTTTGTTCGGCTTTAGGAAGTGCTGAAATAATAGGACGTACAGGGTGACAGGGGAAAGAAATTATTTTTATTTTTTTGGAAAAACCTGTTTCTCTTATTGACAGTTCGAGCCGAGGCTCCTTTCAAAATCGGTGACCTTTTCTAATCTCGATGTTGTGAAGGAGAACGAAGGTTTTCCTGTAACTCGTATTTACCCAGATTTTCTTCAGAAATCTGTATGTCACCTGCCCTCTCTCCCTCTTTGTTCACTCTATGCTGAAACCACATTTCCCTAAAAATTATTTTAAATGCAGGTACGATCTCAACAGAAAATGCCGTTGTCGTCTCCAGTATCACCAAGTACATCATTTCATGGAAGCGAGATACCGCCTGGTCTGGAGGATTTGTCGATGGAAGAACGGCAGAAAATATTAGCGGTGATGGCAGTTGCTGAGTTAGACAGTATAGCTGACGGGAACAGAGCAGCCCCAGCTAAAATACCAATTTCGCAGACTTCGGATTCGTTTTTCAGAAATGACAACGAGAGGTTGGTTGAAAGTACTGCAAATCGATATAACAAATATTTTCTGAATTCTTCAGCCTGCTTTTTTTCCCAGAGCTACGTTCTAACTAGTGACAAGTATGTGAGAAGGCAAGAGAGGCATTTTGCGGTTAGAGGCGCCAAAACTTTCGGAGTTAAAAATTGACAACAGCGACTTGGGTCGCGTTGCAGAGAGAGCAGGAAGTAGATTTTCGATTGTGACCTTGTGGACCAGGAAACCAAGTTTGTCATGCACTTTTTTTGTGCAAAGCGTTCTAGATGCACCGCTGATGAATGTATCTGTATCCGCAGAACGCGCTGTTCCCGCATCTTGATCTTTTAGCTCATTCAGCTGATGGGGAATGTCAAATTCCGATTTATGATTTGTCTAATTTAAAATTTATGTCATCAGTCTCAGGATACGGTAAGGCTTGAAGGTTGATTTAGGATCGTCGATTTTGCATCATGAGATGGACTAAAACTGCAAAATTTCGTGTTTGTATCTTCCCTAATTAAGATTATAAAGTTAAGTTTAATTTGGACTTTAAGCTCATAAGTAAAAATGTGCTGAGGTTTTCAACTGG